TCATTTCTTTTTGTTGTTGTTTCTGGAACTGGGGATTGAACTCAGGCCCTTGTGGTTGCCAGGGAAGTGCTTATTCCACTGAGCCATCTCCCCGGCCCCCTTTTCTGGTTTCATGCTTTCTTCTCTATCATATTTAGAAATCCCATAAGGGGCCTCCAGATTTTTTCAAATTTCTAAATGAGTTGTGAATTCTCTGAGCTTGGATTCATTTGTTTTTTTAGTAGGCGAGCTCTATTTTTCAGTACTTAACTTCTGCCATCCTTGAAGGACACCTTTATAGTTTTTATAATGTGTTGGTCAGCTAATAAACTCTGCATTTAGATGATCCTGCTTGTGCTTTTGAGTCTTCCTATAGGATATAATCTAGGAAGTGCTCCTGTGGTTATTACCTTGTACTTTTCAGCAGCCATTACACACGGCAAGAAACATTTCTATGTGTAAGCTCAAAGAGCTTCGTTGATACATAATTTACATGGGGTAGAAGTTGCACATTTACAGTATAAAAGTCAGTAATTTTTTCTATAGTCTCAGGTCTGTAACCAGCACTATAGTCCAATTTTTAACATTATTTATATCCTCAAAAATAAACCCTCTACCCTTTAGCTGTTATTTCCCAACCCTGTTTTTTCTATCATTTGTAGCTTTGTACCCTCGCTTCAGTCCTTAGCAGTCCTCAATCTGGTTTCTTCTTCTGTGGAGTTTTTTTTTTTGCTTGCTAGGGATCATTTGGTTAAAAAAATTAGGACACTTTAGAAAAGTTACGGTTTGAAAAAAATGAGCAGATGTACAGTGTTCTCATATAATGTGTCTGTCCTGCCACATTCTTCTATTGCTAGTATTTTTGCTTTCCATGGTACATTTGTTAGAATTCATGAGTTGATCATTGCTATATGATTGACAAATGTCTGTTTACATCAGGCTTAATGTGGTACATTATTTTTTCAAAAATTGTTTAATATCCAGTATCTACTGCTATGTGGGCAGCTCTGTTGTCCTAACTACCTGAGGTGTATCTCTTCCATCCTTCCTCCTCTTTTACTGCCTGAAACCCTGGCTATCACCAAGCTTTTTCCTATTTCTATAACTTTGCCTTAACAAGAATATCAGGTGGTTAGAATTGCATAGTTTGGCCTGGCCGGATAGCTCAGCGGACTAAAGTGCCTGAATTGCAGAGCGGCGGCCTTCCATCCCGGCTTCCGTCCTGGCTTCCATCCCTCCCGGCATGCCTTGCTGGCCCCGCCCCCAGTGCACGCTGAACCAGCCCTTGAGATTGGGCGTGGTGGCAGCACCTGCATTCCCAGCACTTGGGAGGCTGAAAACAGGAGAATCACTATGAGTTTGATCTATGTAGTGAGACCTGATAGACCGTGTACCAAATACATTAAAAAAAATTTTTTTTTTTGGCATAGTGTATAGCCCCTTTGGACATTCTCTTTCACCTAGCAATATGCATTTAAAGTTCCCAAATGTCTTTTCATTACTTGATTGCTCATTTTTATTGCTGGATAGCATTTCATTGTCTAGCTGTGTCATAGTTTGTCTAAACCATTTCTGAATTATCCAATTCTAGTTCGATTGTCTTTTGATCTAGTTGTTATTATCCTTTATATATTCTATGTCTAAATCTCGAGAAGATTTTTCAGTACAGTTGCAGGATATAGAATCAGTACAGAAAACAATGCACAGAGTATACCAAATGCTTGAATAAAATATGAAAATGAAATTAAGAACACTTTCATAGTAGTATCAAAAGAATAAAATACTTAGGACTAAATTTAAGCAAAGAGATTCTTCAAAACTTCTGTTTTGAAAATTATAAGGTGAAAAATAAATAACAAGGCGAATCAAGAAAAATGAAAGAAAATCCAAGTAAATGGGAATTCTTGTCATGATCATGGATCAAAGACAATATTAGGGGCTGGGGAGGTGGCTCAATAGAATAGCACTTCCCTGGCAAGCGTAAGGGCCTGAGTTCAATCCCTGGTTCTGCCAAAAAAAAAAAAAAGAGACAACATTAGCAGGCAGTACTCCTCAAGTTGATTTGTAGGTTCAGTGTGATCCCCTTTTGAATTCTAACTTTGTAGAAGTTAACTGGCTGATTTTTCATTCATTTGGAGTTAACAGTGATTCAGACTAAGCAAAGCAATATCAAAAAAGACAGATGCATTAGCTGTTTGTTGCTGCTACGTAATACTGGAGAAAATCACATCTGAAAGGAAGAAAGGCTGACTTGGGGCCATGGTATCAGAGGCTGTGGTCAGCTGGCTCCATCGCTGTTGCTCTTATAGAGTGGCAGAACTTCAGGGCGGAATGTGTGAAAGTGCAAAGCTGGGAGGAGAGAGGGGAGGAGCCAGAGAGAAAGTGGTCAGGGACAGATCCAGTCACATAAGTCATGTCACTATGATTGACTTCTTTTTCAGTTTCTGTCACCTCCCAAGATCTAATCCCTAGTTCAAAACCCATCAGCCATCAAGCCTTCAACTCATGGAGCCTGGGGGTAGGGAGAATATGATAAAGGATTCCAGCCATAATGGTAGACGAACTTAGAATTTCTGGCTTGAAAAGTTACTACAGATTAACAGTAATCAGGACAGTGTTGTACTACCATAGGAATATACATGAAGACTAGTGGGATGGAATCAGGAGTTCAGACATCTATAGTCCAACAGATATTTGCTCCCAAAGGATACTGTAGGTTTCTTGGTTTGACTTTCTTTGTTTCTTTCCTTCTTTTGTATCAAGGGTCGAACTCAGAACCTTGATCTTGCCAGGCAGGCACTTAGGCCACTGAGTTACGTCCCTGGCCCCAACTGATATTTAATAAAGGTGGCAAGACCACTCAATGGGGAGAGAATAATCTCTAAAGAAAATGTGACAACTATAGACACACATGCAAAAAATGAAGTTGGGTTTTAATCTGGTGTACATAAATCACTTCAGGGCCAGGGAGATAGCTCAGTAGAATAAGTGCTTGCCTGGCAAGTGCAAGGTCCTGAATTCAATCCCCAGTACAAAAAAAAAAAGAAAAAAAAAAGAAAAAATCACTTCAAAATCAGTCAAAGACCTAAATGTAAGAGCTAAAATTATATAACCACTGGAATAAAATATGGAAGTAAATCTTCATAACCTTAGATTTAGCCAAAATTCCTTAGGTGTAACACCAAAAATGACCAATAAGGTAAATCAATAAACTGTATGTTATCAAGATGAAAAGTGTGTGTGTGTGTGTGTGTGTGTGTGTGTGGCCACCTCAGCTCACCCCCGGGGATGGGGCTGGCATGCCATGGGGTGCTGGTGCATCTAACCACGGTCCCTGCGCACTTTGCCTAAGCTTGCCTAAGCAGGTACTTTAGGCTGCCGAGCTATCTTGCTGGCCCAAGTTTTGTTTTTCTGAGGACACTTAAAAGGTAAAAATTTTACAAATCATACTGTTATAGTTTGATTCTGAAATGCCCCCTCTAACCAGTACGTTAAAGCCCCATCGTCAGCCTGCTGTTGGGAGGTACAACCTTGAGCAGTGGGGTCTAGTGGATAGAAATTTGTCATTGCAATCTGCTCTTGAGGGCATTCTGGGACCCCCATCCCCACCCCAGCTCCCTCCTGTTCTCTTCCTGGCCCCTGTGAGGTGAACCAGCTTTCTCTGTTGTTGCTGGTGTTGTGGTCCTGCCTTGTCACAGGCTCAGCAGCGAGAGGGCCAAGTGAGCAGGAGCCACAAGCGCCAAAACTGTGAGCCCAAATCAGCCTCCCATCCTTGAAGCTGATTATTCAGGGTTCTTGCCGTAGCCACAGAAAGTGAACAAATGTACTTGACATTTTTGACAATAAACTTGACAAAGACAGTCGTCTTTATCATTTACTGAGACAGCAGTAGCATCTCAAAATGAGATCTTTTGGCCCTCTAAATCTTTCTCATTAGTTCTTAGAATTAATATTGTCCATGACTAAGATAATGAAGCCAGGCATAGGGTCATACTAGTTACAATGTTTTGGGTTTTTTTGGTTTTTTTTTTTGAGACAGGGTCTCACTATGTAGTTTGGACTGGCCTTGTGCTTGCTTTTGTAGCCTCCAGGCTGGTCTTGAACTCGCAGAGATCCTCCTGGCTCAGCCTCCTGAGTGCTGGGAGTACAAGTGTGCACCACCATGACTGACACTCGGGCCATATGGTGGGCACATGCATCCAAGGCCAAGCTGTCATGCCCGGGCATTGGGCTGAGACCGCAGGGCATATGGGGCTGAGGATTGAACTATCTTTCTGGCCCCTGCAATGTATTATTAAATACCTAAATTTTTAGATATTTCTACCATGATAAAATGGGGGGAAAAAAAACAACCAAAACAAGAAAACAAGTGTAAATTTACCTAATATACTTTTAGGAACCTGACAGGAAATATGAAGGAAAAATAGACTGGTACTTCTACAGGGTTTCCTTTGGTCATTTGATACCAAAGTACAACCTCATGTGTAATTTCCTGTCTGAACTTTCTTGATTGGTATTGTCTATATTCCTGGCAATGTCGTTTTTCAGGCTGAATGAACTGATCTAGAGTACAGAGTTGCCTTTTTTAGTCATTTAAAATCTGATCATTATACTCTATTTAAAACCTGGGGCCTTACTGTCTAGTGAGGATATCTGGGTCCTTTATTTGGATTCCAGGCTGCTGGGCTGGGGGTATAGCTCCGCAGCATGGCACCTGCCTGGCAAGTGTAAAGTCCAGAGTTTGATTATAAGTAAAAAAAAAAAAAGCCATGAGCCATGTTCTGCAGGTTGATTATAAGGTTTAAACCATGCAAATAGTAAGTCATAGTAAGTACTCTAAATAGAGAGGATAGTACTCTTTGGGATTAAACATTGACTTTTGTGGCAAAGATCATTGGATGTCAGGTTGGCTGCTGGCTGTAAAAAATTACTAAAGAAATTTCACTTTCACAGTTTTAGGCACACAGTACATGAGAATGATTAAGGCACAGATTCTGATTTCTAAGTGTCTATCTTTAAAGTACTGAATACGGCACATCATTTTCCTTACTAAAGGGTTAGGATCCATGGCTCTTTTCTTAAAAATACTTAAGTGATAACAAAAAGTGGCTTCCAGAACATCATAAAATTAACAGATTTAAATTTATCTTTTCACTTCATAAGTAGATTTTGAGTATTTTTCTTTTTGTGCATTGTAGAAAATAGGTTTTCTTAATTAGAAATTCTCTGAAGGAAACAGAATTGAGCACAAGATTTGCCTATTTTTTTGAATTACTATGTTAGTGTAATTTGGTTCTATGTTTCTTTTTTTTTGTTTGCTTGTTTCTATGCCAACTTTTATCTCTAGAAGTAGATAGTAGGGCTTTATGTGATCAACTTTTCCCCTACTTTGCTTGGGGAGTGGGGTGGGGTGGGAGGGCGGGGTTTGTTTGTTTAAAAATGGAAAAAATAGCCAGATGTGCTGGTGCTATGATCCCAGCAGTCAGGAGGCAGATGCAGGATTTCTGAAAGTTCGGTGTTGGCCTAGACTGTATAGCGAGTCCAAGGAGTACATTTTTAGATGTTGTCTCAAAACCTCTCTATCTCTATCTTTGTCTCTGTCTGTCTCTATCTCTGTCTTTGTCTCTATCATCTCCATCTCTGTCTATCTCTCTGCCTATATCTATCCATATTTATATGTATATCTGTCTGCATCTGTATATATCAAATAAATAAAATACAACTTATAAAACTTTTGTTTTTTTCATTAACTATTGAAAATCAATAATTACGTACCATATTAAAAATTGTAGACAAATATTGAAATGTGAAAGATATGTAATGTAGACAGAGTGATGTTAGAGAAATATTTTTGAAATAAATACATAGCATGGGATTAATAATAGATTGCACATTGTAAATAAATTATTTACAAACTTAAGTGAATGTAACAATAAAAATTGTCCAAAATAAAAATGAGGAAAGAATTTACAGATCAGTCATAACAGTTCACTCTGTGTCAAAATCAATGGAAAGAGATAGGCAATAAATATGTAAGGATTTAAAATTTCTGAATTTAGTTGAAATTGTAACACCAATTTCCAAGAAAAATTAACCTTTTGCACAAGAAATTTGAATAAAATCATACCAAGATACACAAAAATGAAATTGTCTAAAACTTATAAAAATTATTAAAGCATATACATAAAAGATATTAGCTTTGGAAGAACAAAATGAAATAGCATTTTATTCCACATTAGAAAGAAAAAAAGACCAAATGTATAAAAATCTAGACTAATTAAATTTGAAAGAAAAAAGAAGATCTGACCTCTATGAATTTTATACTTAGCAAACATACCTATGAAAACTAAAAGTAAAATATTTTCCAGTTAAACAAACTCAGAATATTCTAATACCTCCAGATGTAGCATATAGGAAATAACAAAGAGCATAATTCAGTAGGCAAGAGAAGTTGCTGTATGGTCCTGGATAAAGAATTTTTTCTGATATATTTCCTTTATATTACTTCTTCCTTGTCTTTTACACACACATGAAAAAAATGTGTATATCCCGAAATAAGATTGATACTATTTCGTAGAAATCTTTAATGACCTCTAATATATTGTACATAGCCCTGTATAACTAACATTTTGAGGGCGCTTTATTCTTTATCCAGAACTTTTCATAATGGTGAAAGTTACCGTGAAGTACTGCCTTACTGAAGAAGTTCTCTCTCTAAACTTCGTAGGTCTCGTTACACTGAAGCACTCCACAACTCCGTTTCTCAAGGTGGAGCCTTTTCCTCCAGGACACTATGAAGTTTTGG